CAAACAGAAGCCAAGAACAATAACGAAGTACCATCGTGGAGCATACGTTTCTTCAATTTTACAGGCATTGACTTTTTATCAATCTGTATTAGTCAACGCAGAGGGAATACAATGAATTGATTGTATAATATTTAATTCCCATAAAATATAGATATATTATGAGTATATATGGAGACATGAATAGTTCACCCCACTCCCGCATCCATCGTAAGAACTAAGAAAAGACAGATGAGGTTTCAAGATAAGCAAAATTTTAGCCACCACCATATTTTGATTTCCCTCCAACTTGATGAAGGAGAGGAGATTAAATGCAAAGGCTGTGATCAGATTATAGTCGAACCTTTTCATGGCTGCCTATCCTGCAACTTCTACCTCCATAACCATTGCATGAATGCACCTCGTTCTCTTCAACACCCCTCTCATCCTTCTCATCCATTGTCCCTTCTCCCATTCCCAACTTACTGCTGCCGATCGTACACTTGCGATGCATGTGGATCTGAAGGCAGAGCCTTTGGTTTCAGTTGTTCCCATTGCGAATTTGATCTTCACGTAAAATGTGCCACTTTGCCTAGTACCATACTTCTTGAAAACCACACTCATGAATTAAAACTGGTTTTTGGATCGCCTTATGAGGATAAAAGCACTGTATTTGCCTGTGATTTGTGTCGGGGAATCATGCAGAATAACTTCTGGCTGTACTATTGTGAAGATTGTGATTTTGCGGGGCATTTAGACTGCGCAACTTCTAAGGGGTGCTCCAAGGAAGAAGAATCACGAAAACCAGCTGATGACGATGCAGCAGCAAAGGAAAGATCCAACGTTAACCAAGTAGATTTCGAGAATCAAACACAAGAATCGGAAATGTCGATTTTTGAGGCCCAAAGGAAACTGAGAGAACAGCATATTGCACATAAAATAATGCTTGAAGCACTTGATAATGCTGGTGACTATGTAGGGTCAGGATCATCGTATACGAGGACGTACTATTACTAACAACAAGCATTCATGAACAAATCATCATCATGGGTTGGGAGGAAGTTTGCTTTAATTTTTTTGTTATTGTTTTCATTTCGAAGCTGAAATAAAGCTGTCAAATCTAAATAGACCGCGAAAATTCATATTAAGTATTGAATCTTCTGAAAGGTGGATCACAACAGAGTATTGGTGCAAGTTGATTGGTCTAGAGAATGTGACTTGGATTGTGCTAGTTATGGGGTGATATGGA